CTGGCTAGACTTTCACTTAAAATCTATTCAGAAATCTGTCATATGCTTAATATATGGTCACCTCTTCCGTTTGAGCAATTACACCACAGCTTTCTCTAAAACCAGCTGAAATGGACTCGCTCAAGTGAGGCGCAACATTTAGGTTTTTGTCTCTAGTTTTTCCTTTTAAAGAACAATGTAATGGAAATATTTCCATGAACTGTTTTTGTACTTATGAAAATCATTTTAATGCGTAATCACTCCTGTGAAATGGTGGAGACCCAAACGCTTCTCAGGAGAGTACTCAGGCATGCACGCTCACTAGCACACAAACTCTCCACTCCCACTGTGTCGGTACCTCAGGCACTGCGCCAACTGCCTGCCATGAGCAGAAGAGATGCAAAGTCCCCTTGGGGAAGAGAACAGCCGTGTCTGCACCAGAAATTCTACCTTCTCCTCCCATTAGAACAAAGGATGAGGGTGAACTGTTGCCAGGACCACTGTGGGAGGAAGAAAAGAACCTTCCCCTAAGTGAGGGAGAGGATGAAAAGTTACTGTGGGGGGAAGCAGTTGAGTGACTGTTTCAGTTGGGAGTCATGGATGTGGAGCAGCTTGCTCCTGTCCTTTGCCTCCATCCTCCCACCCCTCAGATTGCAGTTGGCAATTGGTTGTTCTTGACGGGGTGGCCATGGGGATCAAATGTGGGTTCGGGGGGGGGGGGGAGACTTGTTGTAAGGATGGGGATTTTCATGGGGAGGATTAGTTGTGTGGGAGGAGTGGATTTCTGGCCAGGTGATTCGATCAGTCTGGAGGGTTGCTCTGGGGTATCAAAAGGAGGGTTATTGTGTTATCAGGGGAAATTTGGCTGTTGGAAGGTAGATGAGGATTGGTCAGGCTATAGGAGAGGATGAGTGAATTGGGTGGAACTGAGGGGAGTTCAGATTGTAATCTTGGGACCTTATTCTTTCCCTCTCCTTGTATATATCCATAGAGGCATATGCAAGGAGTAATTTGTATCTTGGAGGGGAGGCAGGATGGGAGGAGGATAAGACTCCTGGTTGGGTTGGAAGGAGCCAAGAGATTTCTGATTAGGGGTTTGGAAATGTAGCATGGTTGTAAATTGCACGCATCACAGGAATAAGAATTCACATTTGAATACCATTATTAATTAGATTAGGTAATATATTCTATAATAAAGTGTGGGAGAATGGTAAGACCTATGAACTGAGAATTGGGAGACCTGGGATCTATTTCCAGTTGCGGACTGTGTGACAATGGGCACGTCATTTAGGACCTGATCTGCAGAAGCACTGAGCACCCACAGCTCCAGATGAGGTCAGTGAGAGATGTCAGTAGTCAACACCCCTGAAAATCAGCCCCCCAGGGCCTGATTTAGCAAAGTGCCAAGCACCTACAACTCCCAGTAAAATTGCAGGATTGGACATAAGAACAGCCATACTGGGTCAGACCAATGGTCCATCTAGCCTAGGGTGACCAGATGTCCCGATTTTATAGGGACAGTCCCGATTTTTGGGTCTTTTTCTTTTATAGGCTCCTATTATCCCCCCCCACCCCGTCCTGATTTTTCACACTTGCTGTCTGGTCACCCTAATCTAGCCCAGTATCCTGTCTTCCAACAGCGGCCAATGCCAGAGGGAATGAACAGAACAGGCAATCATGGAGTGATCCATCGCCTGTCATCCGCTCTCAGCTTCTGGCAGTCATAGGCTAGGGACGCTCATACCATGAGGTTGCATCTCTAACCATCTTGGCTAATAGCCATTGATGGACCTATCCTCCATGAACTTATCTAACTGGGTTGAAAAAAAGAACTATAGTTTTGGCCTTCACAACATCCCCTGGCAACATTTTCCACAGGTTGATTTGTGCATTTTGTGAAGAAGTACATCCTTAAGTTTGTTTTAAACCTGCTGCCTATTAATTTCATTGGGTGACCCCTGATTCTTGTGTTATGTGAAGGAGTAAATAACACTCTTACTCACTTTCTCCTCACCAGTCACAATTTTATAGACCTCTATCGTATCCCCTCTTAGTCCTCTCTCTGAAAGCTGAAAAATCCCAGTCTTATAATCTCTCCTCATACAGAAGCTGTTCCATACATGTAATAGTTTTTGTTGCCCTTCACTTTTCCAATTTTAATAAATCTTTTTTGAGATGTGGTGATCAGAACTGCATGCAGTATTCAAGATGTGGGTATATTATGGATTTATATAGTGGCATTATGATATTGGCTGTCTTATTATCTATCCCTTTCCTAATGGTTCTTAACATTGTTAGCTTTTTTGACTGCTGCTACGCGATGAGCAGTTATTTTTCAGAGAACTCTATCCACTTCTGTTGGCCCAATGGGAAATATTACCTCATCCACCTTGCCTCTCTAATATCCTGGGACCAACATGACTACAACAGCACTGCAAACTAGGAGTGTCAGCATTTATAATTCACCACCTGTAGTGCAGGTAATTTTTCTAGGGTAGACAAGGCCCCAAAATCTGATACTGAGATCTGTAAATGTCACAGTGGTCCCACTGCCATGAATAAGATTTGTAGGATGGGGTTCCCAGCCCTGGTTAGCACTTACTGTAAAGAGACCACAGGTTTCTTTTTGACTCTAAATGCAGAATTCCAAAATCCTTTCTTGCTTTCTAAAATCTCAAAATACTGTCTTTTGCTAATGTAAGCCTAGTGCAGTGAAAGTCTTCTCCTTTAAAGATCTGTACAGTTGGCTCACTTAGCTCTTTTTAAAATCCAAACTCCATTGAAATCCCTTTTCTCTTTTGATGCCTTAGTCACCTAATTTTGTTTGGCTCTGTTTACTGTTGTTTCTCTTGCTGAAACATGCTATTTTTTCTGATTTGTCCATAAAAAAAAAAAAGCCTCTTGCAGCATCTAGGCACTTGTACATCTGTTTAGAATTTCAGCTAAAAATAACAAGGTCATTTCAAAGACAACTCCCCAAACAACAAATAAAACTCACTCAGGCTATACCTCCCTCCAGGCAAAGGCCTGATGAGATAAGCTCTGTAACATGCCCTTTAGCTCAACCAACTTGGCTTTCTAAGGACAAGTGGAGATCTAATTCCAGAGCCAAAGCCCCACCCACAGTTCCATTCTGGGAATGGGTGGTTTGAACACGGGAGCTTACATCACAACCATCAGGATGGTGCTTAGGGAAAGAGACTAAAACTCTGCTTTAGCACCCTTTCAAGTCAATGGGAGTCTTTCCATTGACATCAGTGGGCATAAAGACCCTCAGTCATGGAGCTTTTTTAGGTCAAAGTCAACACCATGAATTTTACTCAGTAACCGACTGGTAACCAGTGCAGTCTGTTGAGCACAGATTGTCACATGCTCTACCACATGCATGGCTAGGTAGCTGGGCAGTTGTATTTGGAGTTTCTAGTCTTCAAAGGTAGCCTTATTTTGAACACATTGCTGTATTTCCATTCGGAAGTGGCAAGACACTTCTACAGTGCAACCTGCATGTGACAAGTTGCTGATGCAACCTATGAATGCTAGAGCACTGAGAATCCCAAAAGGATCCCCAGACTACAACGGCCATTAACAAAAAAGTCTCACATCCTCTAACTAGAGGGAGCAGATAACCATCCAGAGGGTATGGAGAAAGTGTTTTCTTGCACCCACCAGTGGCACTTCTGTCATATCTAGATTGATGTTAAGTTGCTGACAGCCAAATCCCTGTTTTGGGAATGCATTGGGAAAGGAAATACACTTAACCAATGCAAGTTAGACTTAGAGCGTATGTTATACCCATGCTGCTGGCACTGCTGCCCCAAACCACCTCATTCTGTCCCAGCAGGCTCAAGCACATATGAAACAGGAAAGGTGACAACAGAACCTTTCAATACCAGGGCCTTTTGTATTAGTTTAGATGGAATAAGCGGTGCAAAGGTGTTAACCCAGTCAGTATCCAGCATTAAACAGTGTTAAACAAAGTCTGGGGCTTGTTCTACAGAGACATCAGCTCGCTTGGAACCATGGAAAACCCACATTAAACATTTTAAACTTTTTATTAAAGAAGGAAAAACAGTTAAAACACTTGAAATGTACAGTAGTGAGGTTTTCATATTAACAACATCCCTTGTTCCCTTTCCCTTCGGCTCGAGAGAGCTTTTTAGAAGGACCTCCCCCTTGTTTGATAGTCTCTTAGATGGTATAAAAGATGGTAATATAACTGTCTTGTTAGGGAAAAGAGAAGCTAGTTGAGATGGCCAGGAGGAGGAGTTGTGGCTGCTGCTGTTAAAATCAGATACCGTTTAATCCCAGGTGGTGTTCGGGATTCAGCTGGACCGGTAGAGGTGGTGATATCATCTGAGTCCCTCTCTCCGGCCTGATATGGTCAAGACATCTCTCAGGATCAGGATGACAAAGGCCTGGGGTCCCAGGAGATGGTGGGGGTGGCAACCATGATGGTGAAGCTTACTCCAGTAGCCTCCTTCTGTTCTTCCTCTTTTCCTCTCAAAGACTTTCTTTAAGGACCCAAAAAGGGAGTGGTGGGTGAAATAGCCCATCACCTCATAACTGGTGGACAAAACAAGGCCAAGTTTCCAACACACCAATTTTGGTCCATTTATTTCCAGACACTTTCTTGTTTACAAAGCATGATCTCAACATAGTCCTGGAGTTATATTAATCGTCCCTTTTTTTGACTAATTCAGTTTTTCTGTCTAGTAATTACTTGACCTACTTTTCATGGTTAATTCCCAAGCAGACAAAGTTATAGGCCCAACTGTCACAACAGCCCTCTAGGCAATGAACAAATGACCAGAACTATCTTCGGGCTTCTCTGAGTGGGAGGAACAGGGGCACTCTTGCTACTCTGTTCACCTCTCTTAGTGGTTAATTACCTGTTTGATCTGTTTGATTTTTCTTTTATTGCAAAGCACGCTGATACTAGACAGGTGTTAAGTACATTAATGAATGATAATGTAATAAGTAATGCATCACTAACAAGAATGTTGTATTGTTTCTCTTTGCAGGTAACTGTTCTGGTCCTTTTTGCCCTTGCGTTCCTAACATGTGTTGTATTTCTAGTAGTCTACAAGGTTTACAAGTATGATCATACCTGTCCAGAAGGATTCGTTTTCAAGGTAAAGCACACACATTCTAGAAAAACCAAAGAATATGCAAAACTGTCTCTGCTACTTTTTCCTTATCCTTGGGAAAGTTATGTTTATTTGCATAATTTAATTTTTTTTATAGAATAAGGCTTTCTCTCTTTCTTTCTGCATACTCACCACCTCACTTATCAACTATCTCCTAATTTTCATAATGTTCTTGATTCTTTTTGCTACTGCTCCAGAGATCAAGAGAACATAATTCTTAACTCCTATGCCCTTAAAATCAGGTAATCTTCACCTGCAGCTGTTTGAAAGATGATCTTAGTTATTAGGCAAGATGGATGTCATGTGTTCCCCCAAATTTATAGGCCACAGGAAGGAACAAAGATATAAATCTAAAACGTGGAGCGAAGCATCTGGATGTAGCTCCTACTTTGGATATGACAGATGTATGAACATTGTCATAGTGGGAGTGAGAGAGTGTGTAAAAAGAAGCTCTTATAGGCTCCTGGGGAAATTCTGCGCCACTGCAAGAGCAGTCATGCGACCCTCTCCAGCAGTATGTTTTAGGTGCCAGGGCAGATGGCAGAGAGGTAAATCACTGTGGGGTAGGGGTCGGGATTGGGGAAGACCCAGCTGGTGGCTCCTAACCTGTGGTAGGCTCAGCTGCTAGTCCCAGTTGAGCTGCAGAGGATGGGACTTCCTTTTCCCCTGCACAGCCTCCGGGGCCAGGTCAGACCCACCCCCAGATTCCTCCCCCAGCTGCAGGAAGCTCTGCAAGTCCTCCAATTCCCCCCTCCACCTGCTTCCTGCACCCATCTCTCCTCAGCTGCAGGGGGAGGTATCCCTGTACAGGGAGTTGCTTCCCCATCCACCCAACCTCTGTGTATCCAGACCCCCTCATACCCAAACCCGCCCCCCAACCCTCTCCCAATGAGCCCCATTTGCCCTGGACCACTACAACAAACCACCTGGATCCCCACCCTGCTGAGCCCCAACCATCTTCACCTGGACCCCCCTGCAGAGTCTGATTACCATTGCACCCAGAAACCCCCCCCCCCAAGCTACCGCACCCGGATCCCCCACTGAGCTGCCTGCATCCAGATTGCCCCACATAACACTCAACCCACACCTGGATCCCCCCATACTAACTCCCTCCACACTTGGATTCTGCCTTGCTGAGCCTGCCTGCCCACACCTGGTGCAAAGGGGCAGGGCCTTGGGGTATTTCTGGGGTAGGCCCAGTCCTTGTGCTGTGTCAGGGTTGGGTGCAGCCTCATCGCTGAGTCTGTGTCTGGGGGTGGGAGCTGCAGAGTGATCTCCCACCTCTGTTCAGCCAGTGGCCTGTGCTCCCCAATGCTATGCTGGAGCCTCCAGATTTATTTGATAAAATTTGCAGAAGTTTAAAATATTGTGCACAGAATTTTTAATTTTTTGGTGCAGAATGCCCTCAGGAATATCTTATACTACAATGGCCACCTTGGGTATATATTGCCTCCTACAGGAACAGGACTGAAGATCCAATAAAGGAAAAATATATAGGAAAAAATCTTTGCTAATTAATGTAATTACATACACAGTGTTAAAGGGTAGGGAGGTAGCATGGAGATAATAGAGTATGAATCTACTAGGAAGGAAGGGGAGAAAGAGATTGGAACTGGAATCACAATTCTCACAAGAATTTATCTCTCTGGCCATACAGCTGAGCAGTGTGATTTCTTTCACTTCTAAATTCACCACCATCACCATCTGCAGGATGAGGCCTACCTTCTTACTGCTTGTCATCTCCTCCCATTCCTGGCTGTCTGCCTCTTATTATACTGCTAGCTTTTAACAACATCCTTTCATTTCTTTCTATTAAGCTACCTTTTTTTTCCATTAAATTCTTATTTAAAAGAAGATTTTGTGTTTAAGGCACTTGACTGGGCCTGTCAGGGCCTGTAACATGGGTGGTTTGACCTAGTGGTCAGAGCCCAGGGTTGTGGTCAGGAGTCACAGCCAGAATTGCAGTGAGGAAGCAGGAACAGGACATGGTAACAGGCACAAGGAGTGGGAACCAGGCGAGGAGGCAGGAACTTGGTCTCATGGGTGTGGTCAGCAGCAGGCCTAGCAACTGGCTGCTCAAACAAGGGCTGTGGCAGGACCAGGACGCTTTATGCTAAGATGTGTCCAATCAACAGTCTACTGCTAGGGAGCTGATCCTGCTGAGCCAACAAGTTCAGCCTCTGTTTGTGGGAGTGTTCGCTAGTTTCCTGGTGGCACAGATACTGAGGCTTTCACTTAACAACCCTGCCTGAGTTCAGGGCCTCGGGAGATCAGACTACAGTTTCTGTTTCTGCCTTGGAGACGTCTTGTGTGACCGTAGGCAAGTCACTTGCTCTCTCTGTGCCTCATTTTTTAAAATGGGGACAATAATACTTTTTCTCCTAACCTGTCTGTCTTGTCTATTGAGAGAGTCTCTGCTCTGAGAGCTTTCAATGTCTTTGTACAGTGCCTAGAATGATTATCTCAGTTGTGCCTGTTAAGTGCTACTGTAATAAAGGCTATTTCTTCCAGGAAGACCTATATCATATTCTTTTCAGCAGTAAACTCTCTACATCCTCCCTTACTTGAATTGCTGTCCCATGTCCTCTCTTGTCTTTGCTTGCCTTTTCTACCTTGACTGGTCAGTGAAGGGAAAACTTCTTACCTCTAATTCAGCATTTCTGAGGATATTATTTGACTGGATTCCTACTCTTGGTCTTGTCCTTCTAACAAGGGACAGATGGGATCTCCCCTGGCTCTCAAAGCTTTCTGGCTGTTTAATGCATGGGTACATATAGCTCATGCAAAGACTCTTCTTGTTACTTGTTACATTCCCAGTGGTGAGGGTTTTGTGGAGACTATTTCCAAAAGGAAGTTTAGATCTATGACCATCTCATGATACAAGGGATCATAAACTTTTTTTTGTCTGATAAATCCATAGAATATCAAAGCTACACTGCAATAATTGATCTGCATGTCATGAGGCCTAAAACTCTCACGATGCTGACTTTAGCGTCTGTCTCTGGTGCCAATGCCTGTGCCTCTGCCTCTTTTCTGGAAGATGAGGCAAAGCTTTGCACAAATGTCACATTTGCAAGGAAAAGTCTGCACCAGCAAAGATTACTTTAACTGTCTTGCATTGACCATGAAGCTCTTTGGGCAGACTCTGTCTATGCTAACTTTGCCTGCATTGATATCCAAGCCTAGGATGCTGATGTGCTTTGCTTGCAAAGGGTAATGAGTGTCCCACATCAGTAGATCTAGTGCCATGGGGTATCTTTGCATAAAGGCCATACTGCCACATCCTTGAGTCAATTAGTTTACTCTACTCTGATGTCCACACATTGTGGGGTATCTTCAAACGGAAACAACTTGTTTTTAGGCCCTTGTTGAATCAATGCCTGGCTGTGATGGACAGTCCTACTACGTCATGGATGCCTCAGGCGCCACTGTTTCAAACCTTTACATTGTTCTGTGGATCCAAGGCTTCAAAGTGTCTGTGTGCACTTAAGAATGCTACATTGTCATCACCTATGGCAATGGTACAGCTGCTTAGACCATGATGCACCAGCTGCATTGACATTACCTGATCTGAGGCCTTCAATGTTGTTGGTCGTGCTTGGAGCACAGCTGTGTGGAAATCTCATGGCAGTAAGACCCTGCTTTGACCATTAAATGTCATGGATGGCTTTGTCAGTTCCATGTGACTCTCTAACTGCCGTGAGAGGTGGATCATGTGGCATGTTATGCATTGGAATTACTTGTGTCAAGGCTCCAGTAGCTATGCTCTATGGAATAGCTTTGCACCTATTTCACAACCACGCCACCGTAAAATGTGTGTGTCTTGACTCCTGCTTTGAGGCCCAGAGGTTTCTGGATTGTAAGACAGCTCTGTACCTCGACAACCAAGAACTGAGACACTGGAAATACCTGATGCTTCTCATCTTGAGGCTTTAGGGAGTAAATGATCCTGTCCCAGAGTGTTTGAGGACCAACGATGTTGCTTCTGAAATAAACATCATGGTGCAGCTCTGTGCCAGTGCCTCAATAGTATAAACTTGTGTTGGCTCCTAATTTGGCCTTGGGGGATAGCTTTATAGCCTCTAAGCCGTTCCACAATAAAGTCTCCTTCCACCAGGCAGTAGACATAAGGCCATGGCTTATTTATATGCTGGGTGAATTTTGACATTGTGAGCCTAATGCAGATATCTGCCACAAGATAGACCGCACCTTTGAAGCACTCTTAACTGGCTACATACAGGTCAGACTTACAGGAGTCTCAGAACATGAGTGATCTCTCTCCTGCCATCCATCTCCACCCTCGGACAAACAGAGGCTAGGGACACCATTCCTTACCCATCCTGGCTAATAGCCATTAATGGACTTAACCTCCATGAATTTATCCAGTTCTCTTTTAAACGCTATTATAGTCTTAGCCTTCACAACCTCCTCAGGCAAGGAGTTCCACAAGTTGACTGTGCGCTGTGTAAAGAACTTCCTTTTATTTGTTTTAAACCTGCTGCCCATTAATTTCATTTGGTGGCCCCTAGTTCTTGTATTATGGGAATAAGTAAATAACTTTTCCTTATCTACTTTTTCCACATCACTCATGATTTTATATCTCTATCATATCCCCCTAGTCTCCTCTTTTCCAAGCTGAAAAGTCGTAGCCTCTTTAATCTCTCCTCATATGGGACCCGTTCCAAACCCCTAATCATTTTAGTTGCCCTTCTCTGAACCTTTTCTAATGCCAGTATATCTTTTTTGAGACAAGGAGACCACATCTGTATGCAGTATTCAAGATGTGGGCGTACCATCGATTTTATATAAGGGCAATAAGATATTCTCCGTCTTATTCTCTATCCCCTTTTTAATGATTCCTAACATCCTGTTTGCTTTTTTGACTGCCTCTGCACACTGCGTGGACGTCTTCAGAGAACTATCCACGATGACTCCAAGATCTTTTTCCTGATTCGTTGTAGCTAAATTAGCTCCCATCATATTGTATGTATAGTTGGGGTTATTTTTTTCCAATGGGCATTACTTTACATTTATCCACATTAAATTTCATTTGTCATTTTGTTGCCCAATCACTTAGTTTTGTGAGATCTTTTTGAAGTTCTTCACAGTCTGCTTTGGTCTTACCTATCTTGAGCAGTTTAGTATCATCTGCAAACTTTGCCACCTCACTTTTTACCCCTTTCTCCAGATCATTTATGAATAAGTTGAATAGGATTGATCCTAGGACTGACCCTTAGGGAACACCACTAGTTACCCCTCTCCATTCTGAGAATTTACCATTTATTCCTACCCTTTGTTCCCTGTCGTTTAACCAGTTCTCAATCCATGAAAGGACCTTCCCTTTTATCCCATGACAACTTAATTTACCTAAGAGCCTTTGGTAAGGGACCTTGTCAAAGGCTTTCTGGAAAAAAGCTGGAGACATGGGTCATTTCACTCTCATCTAAACATCCTGGGTCAGTTTTTCCAGGATATGGAGTTACCTTAACATATTCACAAAGGAGTTTTTGGCCCCAGATGCCAGAGTGCTTGCCTTCTGTTGAACCCAGAGACAGTAGGTCAAAACAATTTCAATACATCAACTAAAGGCCAGCACAGCCTTGCACATTACACCTGAAGCTATTGACACAGCAAAATTAATGGAGCCGAATAGAATCACTCTCCTCCTAAAGAAAGCATTGAGGCCATCAACACAGCCCACCTCAAGAAAACTCAAAAGCCATCTTGATACAGCCAAATTCAAGCAGAGCTAGAAACCACAGTTGCCATGGTATGAAGGGCTCCATCTATGACTAGCTACAGCTGCAGGCTGTGAAAAAGACTGGTGTCCCAGACCTGAGGCGTACCCACTATCTCTATCACCCCTCTGTGTTACTGTCTTTCCTAATCTGGGAATTAGGAAAACAAATAAAAAGGATACAGGATGATGTTCTGAACTAAGACAAAGGCTGCAGGACAGGTAGCGTTCCGGGACCAGCCCCACAGAACATTTACATCAGAGAGCTCAGTGGGTGGCTACGACCAGTACCTTACTGGTGGGGAATGTTCAAGAACTCTGGGCTGGGCCATACAATAGGTACACTTATTAGTTCCTCAAAGGGCCAAAATCCTTTCATTGCGAGTAGGAATCCAGTCAAGATGGAATCTCTAGTATATGTGTCTTAAGCTGTTCTGCCATGTGCTGTGTACATTTGTGACTATAAAAAAACCCAAACACCTTAATCGGGGATACTGTGCCATTTGGGAAGCTATTGTTTGGGTGTGACAAAATGAAGTGCCTTTATGATCAATTACAGTTCCAAAAGTACCACAGGATCTTTAAGTAGATTTGGCTTGGTTCCAATGCTGGTAATTCTGTTCTGTTTGCCCCCTGCAATTTTAATTAGGCAAGTGGATTGTGCTCCCATTCCCCACATCTTAACACATTCCACAGATGGGTGAAATAATCATTAATAACAGCTTAAATGTATACAGCCCCTTTCATCTTTAAGGCTCCCCAAGCACTCTATAACCATTACACATTCACTGTGATGTATCAGTTTTAAATGTAAGTGCAGGAAATTCAGGGAATGGTACCGTTAAGGTTCTGATAGAATCACATACAGAATGTGCCATATCCATGTAGTAATTTCGATATGCAATGTAGATGAGTTGGACACGTGACGTGGAATATTAACTCAGTTTGTCAAAGTTACAAGCAACTGAAAATAGGGGCCTATAATGAGAAGAATCAGGCAACCTGAATCATTCGCATTGCTTCCAGTTTGTGTCTATAGTGAAAGCACAGTTGCCATAAATGCCAACTACAGAACTATTCTAGTTTTTCAAATTAAGAATGGATATTTCCAGATGATGATGCGGTTGCTGTAGCTGAGCGAAAACAACGAAATAATCACTATCCCAGAGTTGCCCTTGCCTTTCCTCACCAAGGCTACCATCCTCCAACTGTCCCTGGGTGCTATGACCACTGTGTCCATGCAGAGCCCCATTGACTTCACTGGGGCTCTGCATGAGCCTAGGACTAGAGGAAAATCTAGGTAGATTGAATCTTGTTGGGTAGAGCCACTGTCTCTTGTCATGTGTTGTCATTAATCTGACATTCATCCAGCTTTTGTAAACATCACTGAATGGATTAGAACTGCGAAGTCATCAACTCCAATGCGCTCTTACAAATTATTAAGGATTTCAAAAGAGAGTTTACTCAAATGCCCTTTGGCAGCAATGCCTCCTGCACTGGTCAGGCCTACCACAATATTTTATTCTTCAGACCCTTTCTGATAGATCTAACATTTACAACCTCATAGTTTTGGTTTGCCTTTACTTTTTCCTTAAGTTTTGTGTATGTGTGTGGCCCACAGAATGGGATTAGTGTTCGTCTAATGCATGCTCTACCCCAACGTTTTAGGACACACACATTCTAAATTAACACTTTTCATTGTATCTCCCAGAATATCGTGTTTTATTTTTGTCTGTCTCTTTAAACATTAAGCTGTTTGGGGAATCCAAGTTACTGGTACTTAGTTAAAAGCCACTTTCTTTTCTACTAAGATGAGGATTCTGACAAACAGAAAAATAAACGCTGTTAAAAGGGTATCTAGTCATTAAGGTTGTAATTTTAACATGCCCTCTATTGTGCCTGAGAAGTGCTGCCACTAAATGTTGTTGCTGATGTGGAGTTCTGGGAGAATGCTATTAAAATGTATTGTGTATTTGAATATTATTTAAATAAATATTCCATTTCTGTAAGGAGACTTAGCATACCATTTTTTAAATGGGTTTCTAGATGAGGTAGACATAATTAGACTTATTCATTCCTCAGACTGATCTGAGTAGTGCAAGTACCAATACCTTGGAAAAAGATTTTTATTCTTAGTTATATTTTCCTTCATTATCTTAACTAGAACTAGCCTCCTAAACGGAGTTGAAATTGCCTTAGCTAGTGCTGGTGTTGCTTACTACAACATCAATGGAATGATAGTTTAGAGCTAGCCAACAGATAATCAAAGCATGTACATGCATGCACATGTCCCCATCTGACAAAATTTTCAAAAATAGGTGGCTACATTTAGGCTCTGAAATCCATATTTAGATGCCTAAACATGGATTTAAGAGCTTAACTTCAGCCATGTATTTCTGAAAATCTTGGTTTCTTTTTGGGTAAACATATATAGGCGTATTTTTTTTTGCTGTGGCATTTACTACACTGTCATAGTGTGTTCATAGCTTGGCAACAGCATATTTGTTAGCCTGGTTTCAGTCTGTGTTGAATAAAAGCTATTAAAGTGCCCTCAGCCATATCTAACTATGGAATTGTAGCTTTAGCTGCTTGAATTAGTTAACTGTTGAATTGAGAGGCACCAAAAATGTCTGGTTCTAGAAATTTAAAGCCATTTAAAAAACCTTGTTAGGGTAACCAACTAAATTTGACTGCTTGATGTTGTCTGCTATTTTAGAGTGTCTGTCTAATAACTGTACTGAAGTATAGTGGAATACAATTGCATGACTATTGTCCTCTTGGGACTCATGAAAATAAGATGTGATGTAGGAGGTTATCACAGTGAGGAACGTATTCCAAAATAAATTTGGATTATTGAGACCAGTATATAGTGGTATCATCACAACAATTCAACAATATTGGCGTTGCTTCTTGACTTTCACAAGTAAATCATGAAGACTATAAAGAGAAGTTACTTGTCTTTGGAACAGTCTCTAATGTAAATGGTGGATTTTCTTCCAGAATAATCAATGCATTCCAGTTGGATTAGAGAACTACTACTCTGAACAAGACTCCAGCGCTCGAGGGAAATTTTACACCGTCATAAACCACTACAATCTGGCCAAACAAACCATCACACGTTCAGTGTCTCCATGGATGACAGTACTGTCAGAAGAGAAATTGTCTGAACAGGAGACTGAAGCTGCTGAGAAATCAGCTTAGTGCGATAAGCTAATTATTAATATGTCATTTGAAGGTAACTAAGGGACTTTAAGGAACTTTTCATTAAATATAATTATGGATAATTTAGAGGTTACTCATGTTTATGGTGCAATTGCTTCTGTTTGCTGATACTGCTTTGCAAAAAATAAAACTTGCTACAAAACATTCATGGGCATAAAATAAGGTGCATATCAGCATCGCTTTAGAGCTCTGACACCATTTTCAATGTTAAGAAATCAACTTTAGATATTTTCTTGCAATTTACTGGACGCTGACAATTTTTCACTGGATTTTTCAGTGGTTTGGACTTCACATAATGTGCTTTATTGTCTGAACTGATACTTTTCGTTTTTATTACATAGCCATTTTTGCAAACTGAAACACCATAGCCATAACTAGAGTGATCTCTTGTTTAGCAAAGAGCTGTATTTAAAACATGTTTTCAGCTCAAGGCTGATATCAAGGACTTGCTGTAATGATTAGAATGGAGAAAGAAAAACTGTCAGGTAGCATATTTTTCTTCACTGTTGATTTGTAAGTGATAATGAAGTTCTCTGCAACAAGGCATGCTCAATGTTTTATTATTACTGTCAACAAAATTTCACTACATTCCCACTATGGCTTTAGTATGTTAGTAAGGATGTGCACTGAAACACAAACTAGATAGGACACAGTGGAGCGAGAGACACACTTTTAGTTATGGATTTGTTCAGGTTGTGTAAAAACAACTTATGAACTGGAGGGTGTTCTGATGAGAAAGGACATCCTTTGATCACATTGAAGAAAGAGGCAGAAAGCCTTTCACTCTCGATGTAGTCCGCCCTCTGTAATTTGTCTGATATGACAGAGGGAGTAACACTTTAAAAAAATCCCTTTTATACAACATTAACACTTTCCCCCTTTTTATATATATTCTGAATTGCTTTGAGTTAACTATGCTGTTTGCAATTTGCTAATTTTTAAACTACAGGACATCACAAGTGAAACTAATGTATTAGTTTACGCTACTTGCTGTTTTAAAGTGACATGTCAAAACGGAGTGAAGAAGCATAACTCTGTTTATGTATGATTTTGGAGGAAAAAAAGATATAGACAAGCCTAGTACTGTGGGTGCACGTTCAAGTTTGATGTTTCATTGTATTGACAAATTTCTTATTTTGTATGAAACAATGTTTTTTCATTTAATCTTAAATATGCATTACAAAAATAATTTTATTAATCTGCCAGTTAGACAAAATAAGTGTGTGAAGCTTTTAGGTATGAGATTCACTTTTCCTTTCATATTACTTGAATGTGATATTTCTAGTGGACATGTCAAAAGTTCCATTGTTGTAGGCACTATACAAAAATGAAAGGAAGCCATTGGTTATTTGTCTAGTTCTGTAGTAGAACAAACTTGGTCAGCTCCACTTTTGGGTTTTCTTCTAATCCATTATTAATGTATTTAGTATCAAAACTTTACATACCAATAAAGTACAAAATGGCCACTGCTTCTCAATTCTATAGGTTTGATACCAAACATAACAATGAGTGTGCATTATATAGTTATGAACTATAAAAAGCTCTGTTTATTATGCTGTGTGGAATGCATAAAAAGCAATAAATTATGTGCCAAATTTTTCTTTGCATTTTTAAAAAAGTTCAGACTCATGTAAACACATTAAAACATACCATGTTTTGTCTGCTAGTAGACATGTACTTTATTGAATGTAAATTAATTCACATGTAACTTTTGACATTTTCACTTCATGCAAAATAAAGAATAAGGATGATATTGTCTGTTGCATACTGTATGTTGACATACATTTCAAGACACACAGTAAAATGAACTTTTAAATCAAAATTTTTACCAAAAACATGAATTCAAATTTTGTAAGATTTGCTTTTCATTATTATCCTCCAGAGATGTGATTTAAATATATTTTCCCTTAAACTTAGACCAGTAAACAACTTCACTGTACAGCCATCTGCTGAACAGTAAGACTAATTACTATCCTCAAAAGAAAACATTCAAAAATTTCAGGCAGCTGGAAACAAAAAACTCATTTGGTGACTGATGCTGCAGCCCTTGAAGTCAAAGGGAGTTTTCCCACTGACTTCAACAGGAGGTGGTTCATAAGCTGCTGGCTCCAACAGCTTCTGAGGTTTGTTTTTTGAACAGGTAGTTAACAACTTTAATACTTCAAAAAGTTTGGCTTCTATGTTATCTATTCTTCAGCTTTGCTCCAACATCTCAATACATCAGTTGCATCACAATGTGTTTACTATAATTTAACATACATGACACTTCTTGGAACCTAGCATAAGTAAAGCTTTATAACAGTGTTTAAGAGACAATTATTTTCCAACAAATACAAATGACCCCTGCACAAACTAATTCTACAGGATTAGGAGTGGCTGTCACAGATGTACAAGGTTATTACAATTTGTAATGAGTGATGTGACTAAAAAAGAAAGCTGAGACAATAGATAGAAAAGCTCAACCCTGTCTGCATTGCAACAATTTTCTTCATTGTACATCTTGTCTACATTGTGAACTTTCCACTAATTGGCTTGGTGGACTATAATTTCCTAAATGTATAATTTACATTTTATTGAAAATTTCTTGCAACTTACTAAACTTGAGCCTGCTTTTTACTTGCTAGCTGATTCAAAGTTTTTAGCTTTGGAAGACTCTCTTTTGTTTTATGAAGCTGCTGAATGGACTTAAATGGTGTTGATCTGTTCACTGCAAGAGTGGTACTCACACACACACACTTTTTTGTACGTACATACACATACTTTTTTTTTGCTAGAAAATATTTTCCAGTCACAACAGTATGACATTTGCAGATAGTGTATCCTGCTTTGAGAGGAGGAATGTCTAAATCTTATACAAACATAACACACAGGCTTTGTTTTATTAACTGTCATACCAGTCCAGGAAAAGCAAGGAGAATGAACACATTACAAGGAAGAAAAGGATCCATACTCGAAATCCAGCGTTTTTTTGGATTGCCTGTAGGAAGATATGAGCTCAATGACTATTTTTCCTTAAAAATACTAGATTTCCATAATATGACTCAACCAACAATCCATCTGGGCCCAGTCTGGCACCTCTTTAAGCCAGTGGCAAAACTCACCATTGACTTCACTTAGAGAAGAATTAGGCCCATATTTCTCTAGATTCTCCCACCAGGACTCAGGCCTCAAAATTTCAAAAGCAGAGTCAATTGAAGGGAAAAAAGCAATCCCCCATCCTACCAATATAGTTGGGTTAGTTAATGATAGAACATTTGCCATCCACAATAATGAACAGTTCTAAAGAAAGTGTTATAAGAATTGATAAAAAATGCATACATTATCTATTTAAATGCCAAACGTTGACTTTCTAAGAACAAGAGAAACGGCTTCTCTAAACAGTTCTATTAAAGCTCTTCAGTGATTAAATAACGTAATAGCTGTTACTGAGGGCTAATTTAACATAGGTCAAGGCAATATTTAAATATTGTAAATGACCAAGTTCAAAATAGCAAACATTGCTTCCAAGATTTGTTTTTCAACTGAAATGGTAAGGGGGGGGGGGGGGTTATTTTAGACTTAATGTCAATAGACTATCATTAATAGTATCAGTCTCAATTCTTAAATAGAAAAGTTTTCATTTGTGGATCTCAAAGAGTTTTTACAGGTAGGGAAACTGAAACACAGAGGTTAAGTGACTTCCCCAAGTTAATGTGCATCAGAAGATGTGTGTTAGTCCCAGCTCTGCCACTGACACACTATGTGACCGTAGGGAAGTTAGTTACACTCTCTGTGCCTCAGTTCCACCAGCTGTAAAATGAAGATAATGATGCTTTGAGAGCCAGGAATAAGATGCACTGTACTTGAGTGCTGAATATTAATAATAATAATAATCTATTTAGTCTATTGACAATTAGTCTAAAAAATTTCATCCCTGCCATCATATGCTCTGCCCACTACGCCATGTTACCTTTTGGATAACCAAATCTGAATAATAACAATCCTAAATCAAGTCTCTGAAAATAAAGTCCCAAACAGATTTTCAAAAATAAGTGCCTAATGATAGGGTCCTAAATTCATGTTTAAGCATTTAGATAAGTGAACCTATAACAGGATCTTATGCAGCATGGGGAAGGGCCTCTTCTGATCAAGATAATGTATCAAGACTACATTTCCATCGATTTCAGTGGTGTCTTCTTCCACCAAACTCCTTAGGGACACTGCATAGGTGACTACATGCAGCGCGGGGTCATCCTCATCTTTAACAAGGAGGTGAAGACAAGCAAAGGTTACAGGTCCCAGTGGTTGTTCAGATCAACATTAGTGAAACATGAAGTTTCACAGACTACACTTCAGTGTAAGTGATCCAGGTAGCTTCCACCCACACTACTATTGCTAATCAGATATGCCCCTAAGGTAACCACAAGTTGCAAATATGGCCATGGTATAGGGCAAAAATGCTTTGATAGCTAGGAGCAAGAAATGCATAGAAACACTACTTAGTAACATTACCTCTCTTATGTCTTCATTACCGCCTTTGATATTTTCTGTTGCACCCACAACTAACTGATGAATATTGTCAATTTCGGTGTCCTGTTGAGCAAGAGTTCCATAAAGACAATGACAAATTCTGCAGAAAAATGTTAACTGTAAAGATTTGGGTCAGAATAGGTCACAACTATGAAATAAAGTATGTGTCTTAATATCTTATGTGCATCTTTACCAATCTTCAAGGGACCGAGGGTTAGTTAAATCTTAAATTTTCTGTCTATGTCACTAGGAGCCTGAAATCAATAGAAAAACTTCCATTGACTTCAGTAGCCTTGTATCAGATATAGCATATAATTTTTCACCAGTTGTTTTACGGAAGATGTTTCATTTCCAAAATGCCACTAACTGAGCATAAGTAACAAGTAACATTAACAATACACTGTTCTGAGGCAAAGGGACCTTAATAGTTAATTCAAGAGTTTTTATCTTTTAATGTTACTAGGAAGATGTATCTACTAAGATTATTATGCAGGAAAAGCCATCATGTATTTGACTTTGAAACACGACTTTTAAGTTCCATTTTTCCTCAGTGTCTGTGTTTTCTTTTATTCACATCTCTGATAACATAATGCAACTAACAAGACACAGAGCAGTTTCACAGCTGAGAAATGTCTGCAGGAAAAGCTCATTTCTCTTAAGTATACAGTTCAGTTATTTCTCTTGAGATTTTGATATTACAGCAGCAAATGTTTTTTTACCTGTTGCAAGACTTTTTCTGTGAATATCTCTTGAAGTCTGGAGATTTCAACCACTTTCCCTTCAATTTGTCTTGACAAAACAAAACACCCCCCCAGATATGTCATTGTGTTAGTGCAAAGATTTTCCACTGTAGATTCACTCTAGACTCACATCCTCAAACCCAGCAAATCACACTATTAATAAGATAGATAGTCATTTTATCAGCAATTTGTTTACTTAGCAGTAATGTATAAATATTCCATGTTTATGGTGAGAGGGAGTGGAGCCTGCAGATGTGCTATAGTATACTGGAAGTTCTGTACCAGCTTCACTTATATTAACAATGAGGGGGAAGAGTTATCAAAATGATATGGAAATGAATAATACAACTACAGTAGCCCTTAGATTAGTTATTTTGACATTATATCTATTTTATTTTAAGCTGACCCCATGTTTACAATTTTTGATTGCTGAAGACTTGTATTGAACACACATGTATGGTAGAAGTTGTCAGAGAAAAGATGGAGGGGTTTCGTAGGTGGGCAGTTGGGTCTTTTTCACCTGGAGAAGCATGGGAGATAATTGGGCATTATAGGATAAACACAATCTGGATGTTTCTATTAAAATGATCAGCAATGAAACAGTTAATATTTAAATGGCTATATTTAAGTTTCAGACATAACCCATCAAATGGAAACATCAAACACCTTGCGGAGATTTTTTTCAGGCTGCCTGCAGACTCAGGAAACAACATGGCACGCGTTTACATTCAGTTCACATTTTCAAGGTTTATATCCAACTTTATGGACTTCAGTTTTTTAAATGAAAGCTCATATTCTGGAGCAAGATATTAGCAAGAGGTGGATTCTATAGCCCTGGAACACGGGACCCTGATTATAAAACATGCAAACCCAGCAAATAAGAGAAAGTTGTACCTCACTTCATCAAATAGGCTATTCATCTCACCAACAAGTCGCTTGTTTTCCTGTTCAAACTAAAGGAGGAAAAACAAAACAATAACAAAAAACACCAAATGAAGTCACAGATCAGATTGTTGTAAAAGACATTCTAAACAAGAAAGCAAGGTTTCAATATTAATTATAATTAATTCACTAACAGTCAATGTTTAAGAGCTACAGAGATCCTTCTGTAATACTCACCCCAGTTTGGGAAGTAAAAAAAACCAGCATGAACATGTTTGCTTTAACCAGCCACCTGAAAAGCCACTACTCTCCTCTTTTCCCCCAATGATGAGCCAAAATGATTTTACAGTTTTGCTCAATGCACAAGTACACAAAAGACACAATAAAAGCAACATTCCTCCTGATTTAATATATGTTTTCACTTGAGAAGCAGCTATAGTATATGATATTATTCTAACCTAGTGTGGTATGAAATGAAGAGCTTGAGTTTGCCAAAATATAAAACTTTCTGACATCTAGTACTGATACTTTAGAAAATAAAGCAAAGGCCAGTACAGTTGCAGTCTCTCTAACCTGTCACTTTTCATTTTAAATTGGGGTTACTCAATTAAGTAGCTTTTAAATTTACTATTATCATTACATTTTCCAAGCAAATAACCATAAACAGATTTTACTAGGGAAATAAGCTCTTCTTTCAGAGATGGACTACATTAATTGCCAATTCATTTGGAGTTCACAGTAGTAGTTTTTTGCATCATGCTCATCCAAAAAGTCTAAGAGCCCTGAAGATGATTTGACAAGTCTGCACAGCCAAACTGTAACATATAAATACAGGCTAACTGCAGTCCTCATCTTAAAGAAACTTTTCCAAGAAGAACCAGTTTCTGTGCCCTAATCACCACATTATGAAACTCTATTTAGATGGGGGATGGGATTTTCCAAAGTGCCTAAGTGATTTAGGAGAACAAATCCCATTGAAAGTCACAAGTTCCATTTGAAAACCCCACCCAGGGGAATTCAGAATTATGTTGATTACTTCTACAAGAGCAGTGCTTGAGTAGGAGCTGAGAAGGTATGCTTCTGAAATCGCCCACTATAAAGTTTCAAAAAGAGTCCCTGAAAAACTATAGGTTGAAAATGCCGGGTTGATTTATTTTCTGTGAAAATTTTACTGAATATGCAACATTAATACTTATAATACACATCCTGGCAGGATGCGCCTGTGATATACTTTATTTCTAAATATAGAGCCCCATACGTAGCAGTAGGAATAGTGGAAAATGTGGTCCCCACAGTCCAAATAATTTCACACAGGAGCAGAGTGAAATAGTCCAGCACCTTAACTGTGCCAACAGAATGAGTATTATTCCATTTCTTTCAAGAACACTTGGTATTTACACTGAACTCATCTATTAAAACACTTCCTTTGTGTTTTGCATAATCTAATCAAGTTTCAATTTCATTAGCAATAAAAATACAATGCTTCTCCATTATAGGGTTGCCAGGTGTCCGGTTTTTGACTGGAATACCCAGTCAGCAGTGCTGACCGGACCATTAAAAGTCCGGTTGGCGGCACTGGCAGGCTCCCTGCCTGGCTCCACACAGCTCTCAGAAGCGGCCAGCATGTCCCTTCGGCTCCTAGGCGGAGGGAAAGTCACAAGGGCTCCATGTGCTGTCCCTACCCCGCGCACTGGCGCCGCAGCGCTGTCCAATAGGAGTTAGTAGCAATCTGAGCAAATGCCCAGTATTTCTAAGAAACAGAAGTTTTGTAGGGATTAAGCAAAAATTACTCAGAACACTATATGTCAATGCAAAAAGCAGAGGAATTTAGTAACTGCCTGAACCATGATCTTTAACAGGAAAGACGGGTAGTTACATTAATGTAAAATTGGTCTGATGTTGGTAGCTAGACATTTCGCTTTCCACACAGACATTACTGAAAATGCCCTAAGCTGTATTTTTTTTAAAATGATGGACAATGTAAACATTTCAATACTTCAGAGTAATTTAAACATTTGATTCATCATTAATTTTTTCAAGATATGGCAAGTAAATCAATGTGCACAATATGGCATAGAGCTAATCAAACTCAGCTTTTGTGCAGCTCCAATCTGCACCAGTAGGCAACTTTAATGCCATTATGCTGCCATCTTTCATAATTAATCACACTGTTCGTTGCTCACCCTATCACTTTCTCCCCAGTCCTCTTAGCATAAAAAAGGATTATGCTCACAGCACAATTTTTTCAAAAGATCTACTTTTATCTCAAACTAATTGACATTTATTTGAAAACCCTCAGAAAATTCAATCTTTATTCATAGATTATGTTCTGTAAATTTCAGGAAGATACACTGGAATCTTTGTACTAACACAGAAGTTGAATCTTACTTTCAGAGATTCAAGAGGCTGAATCAACACTTCTTTAACTATGGAGGCCTGAACCATGCCTCCATAATGTCTACTAGTTGATCCATATTTCTAGGATATGCCACTGAATACTGTGTATAAGAGTCCAGTATTTTTCTTTCCTGCTGGTAATGCTATTCCAACTTTCCAACACAGCAACAGTACAAATTCTTTTTTTTTTTTTTTTGGGTACAGTCAGGCACTTCTTCTCTTCCAAATGGTCTTAGTTCATAGAGTGACCATTAGACCATTCCAGGTATAGAACATACCAAGCAGATCTATGGATGAGGAAGTTTGCCCTTCAAGAAAGGAAGCCTGAATTTAAGAATATTTCATTTTAGGATACACTGTTCTGGGATTTATTTACTCATTATGGATAGATAGTGTCACAATGTGACTGGTCCCTTCAAGGAGAATTGGGACCAGCCCCATATATGCCATAATTAATTAGCTGCTTCCCAGCCTGAGAGGGCAGGGCTAAGGGGTGTCAGATGATGCTTTAATGGACACCTGGGTCACAGAAGAAGGGCTGAGAGAGATCAGTCTGGAGCAGAATCACAGAGAGCAGGCAGGCTCCTGCGAAAAGCCCTGAGTGATGGTCTGCAGGAGGCTGGGTACTCCAAAGCTACCAGCCTTGTGGCCTGGTGCTCTATACCAGAGTAGGGAAGGACACAAGAAACAGAGCCCAGCAGGGGATGAGGACAGTATTCCAGGAAAAACGGCCTGGAGGCTGAGCGCTCTATCCCAGAGCCAGACAAACTCTCAACGGTAGCCCAGAAAGGGGCTGGGAACGGAGCGCATGGCTGAAGAGAAGCTCCTGAAAGGCAGAACCACCTTGTGTTTGTTGGGAATTTTAGTGACTTGTGCTACCCTGGAAGAAGTGTTTGTTTGTGACTTGGTCACATCTCTAGAACAGCCTGGTGTCTGGAAAGCTAAGGTGCTATACCTCGGGGAGGAAATCCAACAGGGGGTGCCTTCAGTGCCCATGTTTGGCCAACAGGGGGTGTTACAGAGTGGTCACCACCCCACAACAGACTGTCTTACATTTTGAAAGACTATTTTAGTAATTGTGTGGCATTTATTTCATTCTGATATTTAAAACGAGCATTAACCCATTAAAAGGAGCTAGGTGTCCAATTAATATTGTCTCAACATTCACAACAGAAGAGTGGGTGCTAAATACTATAATTTATCGGTTTCCATTTATCTGTTTCTTCCAAAATGTCCTATCCTGTCTACAGATATATATTTAGGGGTGGCTTCGTAACAGCTACATTCCATGTATCAGGAATATTCAACTGTGCCCACAGCCATGGCCTACCCATCCTCAATTACAGAGTGATGCTAGGGGGTGATACTTAGCGACACAAGCCCCCATTCCCCACAGGCATTGAAGCACTCTAGAAAATGTCTTCCAGAGGTTCAATCCTATCAGCAGCAATCCATCCATAGTCCAAGCCTATTCCCCTGCCCACAGATTCATGATTAGATAATGGCAGAATCCTAACATCCCAATCTAAATAATTAAATTACCTCCCATCACAAGGACCCTGTCTTTGAAGACTCTTCCTCCAAAGGGAGCATGCATTAACAAAATCTAAAGACTGGTATAGACATATTTACTATTATAGTCATGAATGGCTAGAAGAGTTACACTCTTGGGACCTGATTCACCACTGCACTACATCAGGTTTACACAGGTGTAAGTATTAAATGGAGTCACACCAGTGTAAACCTGAAGTAAAGTGGTGTACCGAGCCCAGGAGGTCCAGCACCGAGTAGTCAAGATAGTCATTGACTGGAGAAGACAGCCAATTTATAGCTGTTTGTAAAATTGCTGGTGCTGAATTTTTCACGCAGGACTATTCAAACTTGTTTGTGCTGTTGCGGGAATAAGTTGGGACAGTCCTGCATTAAAAGTTCAGCACCAAAAATGTTACCATTTTTTAGCACCCTAGTAAGAATTATATAACCAGTTTAGAAATCAGATTTTCAATACACAGTAAATGCTTGTGATCTGTTACAGATAGTATAAATGCACTTTGAGAATGTATTCTAAAAGAAATCCCAAACCCTCTACTCATATTTAAAAAAAATATCCCTAGATAAACTTTGTAATTGAAATGATGGCTGATGAATTATTTGGTCTGCACTGTAATAAGCAATGATAGAACAGTCAATTGAACAAAAGGTTAGAACACAGAGCACATAATACATCAATATGTCACAAAAGAATTTACATGATAGGAACATAAAACTGAAACTACGACAATCTAAATATAGCTCAACTATCTATGGCTTAATAAAGAAAGCTCTTTTTAGGACAGTAAAATATGCTGCTACAAAAGGATGGCACAAAGTGACAAATTGCTTAGACTTTGCCCAAGATTTAATGAATAAAAGTAATAATCAGAGTTCTTTTTTGTTATCCCAAGAGATACATCATTAAATGTCTGTATGTGATTTCACCGTAGACAAAAAATAATAAGATGAAAGTAGTTGAGGAAATTAGACCTTTTCAAACAGAAACAGATTTAATTACACTCAATCTGACCACAAGACATCTGCTTACAATAACTATAAAAGCATTAATATACCTGCACTATGGGTTATAAATTAGGATTTATTGTGCAAATAATACAATAGTCTGCAACCATTTTGGACC